ACGCCATGTGGTCACCTCCGGGGCAGGCGGGGATCGAACTTGTGCGGAAGCGGCTTTAGATTCTCAGTGCTGTGCTTTAACCCGCTGCGCCACCAAGGAGGGCCTACTACCCTTTTTTTTAAAGATTTATTTATTTATTTATACATACAGAGCTGGGGTACAGACCAGAGGTGCAGAGGCAGTGAGAAGCTTCACCAGAGATAGAGTGGGGAGCAGAACAGGCCGACTGACGAAATATACTGCTGAGGGGAGCAGCGGGCGGGTCAGGAGAGGTCTGCTGCATGTGGGTCACCTCCGGGGCAGGGATCGAACTCATGCTGAAGTGGCTTTAGCTTCTTAGTGCTGTGCTTTAACCCACTGCATGACCAGAGAGGGCCCTAATGTAACTTAACTGGTCTTCCTTTAAACTAGAATCATGACTTTTCCATTCTTTACCATTTTCTTTTACTACTTGTGTACAAGTTCTCATTATCTCTTGTATGTTTTCTTTTCTTTTTTCTTTAGTTCACTCTACATTTTTCCTAGCTAAACTATTGCAGGATCCATGCCATGGATCCAAGCAGCCCAGTTTCCTTTCGCTGAAATTCACTTGAAACTGTTCTCCCTGTTTCAAGGTTACCTTGCCAAATTCATTCTCTTGTTGGCAGGATTATTTTGCTAAAATAGTTCACCCTCTGCCCTCTTTTAAACACCATTCAGTGGTTTTCCTGTAGCTAAGGTTTTAAGTGTTCAGGGTAGGATACCCTGAGTATTATTGAGTTTTATCAGTCTTTCTTATCACTCTATAAAGGTAACAGTCTACAAGAGTGTTCACTTTTGACACCATCTATAGAGTTCAGTAAAAACCCACAACTAGGAGAAAGGAGCGTTTAGTTGAGCTCAGTGATAATGAATTACATCTTTACCTTCTTCCGTTAGCATGGTAGTGGTCACTCACCTTGGAACTGCCATCCAGAAACATGCACTCTTTGTTGGTTAGAAAGCTGCTCATAGGTGCTGTTTATGATCCTAGGGTTCAGAAACTCCTCAGGTGGTTCCAGAGTTGTCCTTAGGATAAAAGAGATTGCCGGCTTATAAAAATCTCTTTGTGTCTTGGCTTTGTTTCCACACAAAGCCTCTCTTGTATGGAACTTGTCTGGGTCCTGCCCCTCTAAATAAGGTATTCCTCTGTCACCCAAAACATTATAGAGTTTCCAGGGTTTAGGGTTATTTTATGTCCAAACAGTCTCAGTTAATGTCTAATAGCAAGTTGGTTATTTTCTCTCAAACCATGTAAATTTTTCCATGGTATCAGAAATGTTAATGGTCCAAAATTTCAGTGTTTGTTATGGAGTGGCATTCAAAGATTTGAGTGGTGGACTCCAGTTTGCATATTTGTGTTGCTGAAAATCAGATACCTGAGTGTGGCTCACAGTGCCCAGAAGCGTTGAGAGAGAGACTGGTTTTTACAGTTCTGACATAGCCTCCCTTGCTCAGGCACTCATTCAGCACAGCCTCTTTTTAGGTAGTGATGCTGGAGGGTGCTTCTGATGTTTCCAAGTGGTAGAGGATATGTGTCCTTTAAAACCCACATGTACCCGGGAATGTTGTACTTCTTTCTGAATACGTGGCAAAAACAGTTTGTTTTTCTTCACCTATGTAATGTCAGAGGTAGCTCCTTACCTAGGTCATTCCTCAGAATTTCATCAGTTTGGGCAGAACCTTGAATTTTTGGTGATAGCCTCTGCTGTCACCATTGCTGGTCCAGTGTGTCACCATCGCTCCTTCCTTGGTATTTGGTTTCTGATATTATTATATCCTTAGGATAATGTATCAGAGAGCACCAGCAGCAAGTCTTAACTTTAGCCACGTTATACGAGCAAGCTGGTAAACTCTGGTAATATTTTGACTCTTTCTTGAGGTCGAGGCAGAAGAAACATTTGTAGATAAATCAGAGTCCCACAGCCCTTGAACTTACTGTATATATTTTTTGTTCTTTTGAGACTGTGTCAGGGACAGTTTATGATTTGGTGACATTACTTGATCTAAACTTCAGTAGTCTTTTATTATTCTCAGTGAGTCATGTGCTTTTTCCACAGGCTTATTGTGCAGATTACTTCACTGGTAACAATGGTAACAGAGAAAGGAGTACCTCAAAACCCCCAAACTTGCCTGCTCTAAATAAGTTCTAATTCGTAAACACACAGATCTTTAATGGAAATTAGTGTCCAAGACATAAAAGACAAAGAATGTACTTTTTAAATCAAGCATCCAGATTTACCCCTTCCCTCATGGAAGTCTAAAGCACCTTCCAGCAGGGACCCATACAAAAGGGTAAGAAATGTCCAGAAAAGTCTGGGAAGAAAAGAGCAAAATAAAAATTAAGATAAAAGTTGCCATTGTTAACCTCTCTACAGGTCTCTCACCCATGTCTGTTCCAACCAGGCATGGAACAATGGTAATCTCTTTTTGTCTACTGACTGTCCTATATTGTCTTAGATTAATAGCTTCGTGTGTTTGGCTGTTATAGTATCTAAATATCTAAATGACCATTTAGTATGTCTAGTCAAAAAGAAAAAAAGGTTACCAAAAATATAAAACAGAAAACCCAACAAAATAAAATTTTAAAAGGAAAGGGAATTAAAAACTGGCCTTAAGGTGAAATGATATAAAGGATTCTGCTTCGTAATACCAGGCAGGTAAAAAGTCAGACATAATATTCACCTCAGTTATATGTTCAGGTAAAGGAAATGTGGCCATGTACATAAAGTCTGTTCAGACATTGGCAGTTTTCATCTAAACTTTTCACCTTAATTCTTTGATTCTCCCAATCTTAATCTTATCTCCCCTTAAGACTTTAGCATATTTTAAAATTGTAATGCCTTGGGATCCTTGCCAAGAATTCTCATGAATGTCTGTGTCCACCCCCTGGTTTTTTCATCTGCACATGTGCACTTTGCCTTGGTTCTCCAGATGGGGATTCCATGACCATTCCTTTGTTCCTCATTTTGACTAATTTGTGGGACAGTTACCCCAGGCACTTCAGATTAGGTTTCTTGTAGTCTTTGCTGTCCATCGTTTTAAATTTCTCTAAGTTGGGATACATATAGCAGTGTTTTTAGGGCCCTTTAATATGGGGACTAGCAGTGGTTCCCTTTGGTTCATCTAGTAGTGCTACATTTTAGACCTTTGTTTCCACACTATCAAAGTCTGCTTTATTTATACTTTAAAAAAAAAAAGATTTATGTATACAAGAACTGGGGTACAGAGGTATGGGGTGGTGAGAGGATTCACCAGAGACAGAGTGGGGAGCAGAATAGCTGACTGAAGTGCACTGCTGAGAGGAGCACTGGGTGAGACAGGAG